GGGAGGGGGTGGTAAATAAGGTGATTTCCTGTGCTCAAGGGGACAGGTTCCAGCCCAGATGGTTCTGTAAGTTCACACTTTGGGGATACCTTCCTCTTCTAAACACACAGCAATAAATGCGAAAAAACAAACATGAAAATTGAAGACACAGTCATGCTGAAAAACAAGATGAATATCTTCAAGGATGAGGGCACGAACAGAAGCACGTGATGGTAAGGAGGTGGCAGGTGTGGACCTTCAGGGTTTTGGGTTCAAAAAAAGGCAGAGAGCCAGGAGCTCAACTCCTGAGGGGTAAGTACAGGTTTAAAGTGTCCATCCAAGACAGGAGTGTTGAATATGGGCTCCCTGCTTGAAATTATGCCCAGGCACTGGGATCTCCTACTTATGAAGAAGCTGAAATAACTGGGAATCAACCACAGCCCAGAACAATGTCCTCTTAAAATATTATACCCAGGTAGGTGAGAGGACACAAACTAAATTTCACCAACAACTGACCCTCAGCATCCCTTGGTCTGGGGACAGGATCTACAACATCTCTGATATGAGCACAAGGAAGGAGCCCCAAGCTGCCAGTGTAAGACCTGAATGTGGATCTGTGATCCTAGGTGTCAGGAGGAAGAAACTGAAAAACTGTTAGGCAGGAAAAGACTGTCAGGACACTCAGAGAGAAGGAAGATTAAAAACTTGAGCCACTTGCCCTGGCCAGGTGGCTCAGCTGGTTGGAGCATTGTCCCATACACCAAAAGGTGACTGGTTCGATTCCAGGTGAGGCACATACCCAGGGTTTTGGGTTCGATCCCTGGTCAGGGTGCATGGCAGGGGGTGGCTGATGAATGTTTATCTCTCACATCAATGTTTCTCTCTCTCTCCTCTTTCCTCTCTCTCTAAAATAAAAAACATATTCTTGGGTGAGGATTTTTTTAAAAAAGAGAGAAATGTTTAATATTAAATATCAAATGTAAAAATAGAATATTGAAATAGAGAATACAGATGGGATAAACAGTGGAATGGGCAGAGCTGAGAACAAGTTAGTAAGCTGGGAGATCAGACTGAGAAACTCTAGAAGAAGAATAAAAGAAAACAAAGAAATAGAAACTTTAAAGAAAAGTTAAGAGATATAAAGACAGAAAGAAAATTACTAATATCCAGATAAGAAGAGCCCAATAGAGAAAAATGAAAATAAACAGTAGGAAATATCTGAACCAGAGATAACTTTCTCAGATTTTAACTGAGACGAAAGACTTCCCACTGGAAAGTCTCACAGAGTTACAAGGAAAAACCACACTTAAGCATATTACAGTAAAATTTAAGTTTTCAAAACTTAAAGTTTTCAAAATCTTTCAAAAAAAGATGTTGAAACAACTGGACATCTGTAGGCAAAAAAAGTTGTTTTAAAGAACCTTGACATATACTTTATACCTTATGCAAAAATTAATTCAAAATTGATCATAGACCTAAAACATAAAACTTTCATATGAAAACATAAGAGAACATCTATATGACCTTGGGTTAGGTCACGCAGATCTAAGAGTTCTTAGATATGACACCAAAAGCATGATCCATAAAATAAAAAATTGATAAGTTGGACTTCATCAAAATTTAAAACTTATGCTTTGTAAAAGATATTGTTAAAAAGAAAAGACAAGCCACAGACTGGAAGAAAATATATGCAGATCACATCTCTGACAAAGAACCTGTATTCAGAATACATAAAGAACTCTCAAAACTCAATGATAAAAAATAATCAATCCAATTAGAAAATGGGAAAAATATATGAAGATATATTTTACCGAAGAGATGTTATTCATGGCACAAATAAACACATGGAAAGATGTAAAATATCATTAGCCATTTGGGAAGCAAAACCACAATGATATGTCACTATAAACCTATTAGAATAGCTAACATAAAAATAGTGGTAATAACAAAAGTTGGTGAGGATGCAGTGCATGAATCTCTCATGCACTACTGGTGGGAATGTGAAATGGTGCAGCCACTCTGAAAAACAGTTTAACAGTTTCTTACAAAACTAGCAATCATGCTCTTGGACATTTACCCCAGAGATCTGAAAACTACATATAAAACCTGTACACAGATGTTCACTGCAACTTTATTCATAAATAGCCCCAAACTGTAAGCACCCAAATATTTTTCACTGGGTGAACAGCTGAATAAACCCTGATACATCTATAAAATGGGGTGCTACTAAACAATAAAAATAAATGAATTATTGATACATGCAACGACCTGAATGGAACTCAAGAGCATTACGATGAGTGAAAAAAAATCCATCTCAAAAGGTTACATTTACATAGCATTCTAGAAAAATACAGAACTATAGATGGAGAAAAGATCAGTGTTTCCAGGGAACAAGATTGTCTGGGATGAGATGGAGTAGGTAGCATGAGGGACTTCTCTCGTGGGGATAGAACAGTTCTGTATCTAAATTTTGGTGCTGGTTACACAAATCTATACTTAGGACAAAAGTACATAAAATGCACATACATACACACACACATGCACACACACATAAATGCAGTTAAAAAACTAAATACTGAATTGAAAATTTGAAAACTAACAAAGTCTGTAGCCTAGTTAGCAGTAACACGCCAATGTTCATTTCCTGGTTTTGATATTGTACTTCAGCTATGTAAAGTGTCGACATTGGGGGAAGCTGGGGGAATGATATGTGGGACTTCATACTATTTCTACAACTTCCTATAAGTCTATAATTATTTCATCATAAAATGTTTTTTAAAAATGAGCAGAGAAAGACAATTCAATAAATACTGTTTTTCCACAGAGATTCAAATAATGTAAGACCCTATCTCACGCTAGCTGGTAAATTTCTAGAGGGCAAAAGGATTTCAACATTTAGAAGAAAAATAACAAGATCTTTATTACATTAGAGTAAAAAGTATTAAATAAGATTTTTAAATGCACAAACTATAAAGGGAAACTTTTATATAATTTAATCATATTCTTATTTAAAACTCTGTATAACAAAAGACACCAAAAACAAAGTTAAAAGACAAGCAGTTCCCTTTAGAACATAAGAAGCTGAAAAAGGCAAGAAAACAGACTCTCCCCTAGAGCCTGCAGTAAGGAATGCAGCCCTGCGGACACCCTGATTTTGCCCAGGGAGACCATGCAGACCTCCAACCTGCAGAACTGTGAGATAATACATTTGTGTTGATTTAAGGCACTAAGTTTGTGGTAATTTCTTAGAGCAGTAGGAAACTACTACAGTGACTCACCTCTGTTGATTTCCAAGCATTCAACTTGAGTGGTAGTGTTTCCTGGGACAGCACCGCTTCGCCAGGCAGAGGAATGTCTTGCCACTGCTCTTGTTTCCATCCTGCCTTGGGAGTGCTCTCTGTGTTCTCTGTCAATGACATAGAGCTAAGATTTTAGTTTGGCAAAAAATAGTATTGCTTCTATATTACGTCACAAATTTTAAGCTAACCACTTCTGAAAATCCATTTTGTCTACAAAATATACATGATCTACCAGTGGTTACCTATGAATAGTAATCATTTTAATATAGCTCTTTATAATAATTGAGACAGATTTCAAAAATATAACTTCAACTCTAGCCCTTCTCCCATCAAGAGTTTTATTTTATAGCTTTATTATTTGAAACATCTTTTTTAATATAAGGTATAATATTGTAGAGAAATAGAGTTTGAAAATGTGAAAATGATTCAAATGAAATTTTAGCAAAATAGGAATAACAACTATAATTATTCTAAAGTAACATTTAAAACAAGTTGATTACTGCTGTGTGAACTTCATGTGTTCTAAGCAAAACTAATCAGGAATGTATAGATTATTTGATAAAAAAGGATTTTTAAACAAAAAATTTTAAAACTCGAACATAAAAGAATACGCCAATGAAAATAAACAGATCCTTCTGCTTATATATTTTTACTGAACTGAACATTTTTGTAGTCTTACTAGCATTTTCCTCCCTGTCAGTTACTATGTAAATAAAGTATTAGTACCAACTCTATCTCAGCATTTTATTGGGTACAATGAGAAGTGCAGGAAAGCTATTTTCAAACTGGTATATGCACACCACTGGGGGTACATGAAGACTTCCCAAGGGCTAGGTGGGCACAGATCATTTTAAGGACTCAATATCCAGATCCACAACTTCTGTATATATTCTTTCCAAAAACTGATCATCCAGAGATTGCAACTGTGTAGAAGCATCAGGCTAGTTCTTTCCCCTTCCCTTCCATAATCTATTTTCTCCCACTTTATGAAGAAGGACCTATCCCTGACCTAATCTTATTAAGGGGCATCTTCCTTTAGGGTGCAAGCACAAGAGCCTCTAGAACTCCAGACAACAATAAAAAGACTGGGATAGGGTTGCCTCCTTTAATCAAGGCATGAAAAACCCAAAGTAGAGCTTCAAAGTTTGTCCTGTCTTACATGTATTTCTTTTAATGGCAAAGTATGGCATAAGTAACGGGGAATTTTGGTCCATACAGGGATGTCTGGTATTCAGATATATCACAGTATGGAGAAGCAGGACAACTGACAAATTTCATGTCAGTTGGTTGTGCTTTACACCTCCCGACTACTGTCAAAGAACGCATCATTCCTGAGAAAGAGGTCCATGAGAAGCAAGCAAAAAGCATGGGGGGGCAGGGACCCTTATTTCATCAATGCAACAACCTTATGACAAGGCGCCATGGCTATCTACCTTAGAAATAGAGTCCAAGAGTGTGAATACAGCCAGAGTGATGTGTGCTTGCATGCTTATTTGAATAAAGTAAGATATTTTAGTTTAAGTCAATCTGATTTGGCTGGTTGTTTTGACAGTGAAGTCTGGTTTTGCCCACTAGGTAAATATGGTAAATAATTTCCAAAAACTGAATGAACCAAATCCATAGTTCTGAAGAGTTGATGAAAATATATTTAAAGCATGTAACACAATAAAATCATTTTCTCAAAAAATTATTGCATTGACAGGTATATTGCAATGAATGTTTTTCTATTTCCCATACATTCTGAGTATATTGTGTTAAGTGTAAGAGGTATAATTAATAAATTTGATAAACTTTAGTAATGGTTTTTATTGGTATTCTTCTCAGAAACTGAGAAAGTAAATTATTCCTAATGACTAAGTAGGGTGTTTCTAATCCTTTGCTTTCAACAAAGGCCTAATCAAGTTAACAGCTGACAAGAATGAAAAACATTTTTATAATAAATCACTATAATTTTTGGCATATTATTTGGAAGGTATTCATAGAATTGACATTGCTATAATAAAATACCTCCTATTCCCACCTACAATTTTATGTGAACAAGACTTCTCAGCATTTTCATTTATAAAAATATAAAACAGAAACAGAATTCCTGCTGAACTCTGCTTATTTCTAGCAATAGCTAATATTCATACGTAGATAAATGAGCAGTTCCATGCATCTCATAAAAACATGTATTTCCAATAAAATTGTATCCTTTATGGTTTTTTTTATTTTAAATATGTTTTTATTGATTTCAGAGAGAGAGGAAGGGGAGGGAGAGAGAGAGAGAGAGAAACATCAATCAGCTGCCTCCTACCACAGCCCCTCCTGGGGACTGAACCCACAACCCAGGCATGTGCCCTGACCAGAAATTGAACCGGAGACCTCTCTGTGCATGGGACAACACTCAACCAACTGAGCCACACCAGCCAGGGCTCCTTTATGTTTAATAAGTATTTATAATATATTTATGTGGTTTTGTTTTCCCTGATTGTGTACTAAAAATAATTGGAATAAGTCAATCTAGAAGGAATATTTTACCACTTAAAGTCTCTGATCAGAAAAATTTTTTAAATAATTTCAATTTATATACCTATTGATACAGAGCAGACTTTCAAGCATAAAAACACTTTCTATTAGGATAAAGTTCTGGGAAGGATATAGAACAGAAACATGACTTCAAGTAGGAAAGGGAATAACATGAAGACTTCGTGTATTTTTTAAATGAAGAACTACAAGTATCAATCACAACAGTATTTAGATTCCTTTAGATAGACCTAAAAGTTTCATGGGATAGTTTTTGTTTGTTTGTTTTCTTTTATTGTCAATGCCAATATTTTGAATTACATCCTTTGCAGTTACTTATACTAATGGCAATATTTCACATGTCAACTTAAGAATGTGTAAGGAGGCATATAATTTTTCAAAATAATTTTATGGGTTATGCAAGAAAAATAGCTTGAGAAACAAACAATGGTACAAGACGTGGCTAGTCCTTGCCTTCAGAAAGTTTAGCCTGACTGGGAAGATAAGTCTAACACACAGGCTATGGAAACAATTAAAAGAGAGTAATTATATGCCAAACTCCTTGAAATTAGCCAACTTTAGGACTAGACATGCAGAGGGAAGAAAATCAATGTACACCAGAACAACAGAAAGAGCCTCGAATAGGAAGTAAAATCTGAATAAGCTCTGAAGGTGGCTGGTGTTCTGATGAACAGGGAGGGAGGGAAGCATTATTCTAGGCAGGGCGCCTACGTGGGCAAAAGCGGCAAGTGGGGTGCACACCAAAGACACTGAAGGATAAAACTTTGCATTTAGGGTTCTCACTCTGCATTTTCTTAAACCTTCACACGAAAATGAATAATTAAAATAAGCTTATCTGGGGCTTGGGGGTTTTACAATTAGTACTGGCGAACAGGCTTAGATCATGTATGCATGTTCATGTGATTTAATCAGGAACTATACCACCACTCTGAGAATTCTGCAACAAAATCAGCCTTGAAATGATAGTGACCTAGGTTTTAGACATCACAGAAGATTAATAAAAATTTCAGGAAGTTGATGTTGCAGTGTGAGGAAGCTGAAGAATAGCAAGAACTGTGAAAGAAAAAACCACCTTACATATTAGGAGATGCATTTTAGCTCAGAATAGCTAAAATGTTACACACCTATATTAATTTCATAGGGGCAAGAAGGAAAGTAGTGATAAAATAGTGGATCTATGGAAACTCATTTAGAATTACTTTTAGTATCAGGCAGCACAACACTGAAAGTGAGGTGTGTTTAATGAAATTAAATCATTTCTGAATTTTCACAAGCAAATGGAACGTGATAACACACATTTAGTTCCTTGGTGGAAATAAAGCCCCTTTGGTATCATAAGCTATGTATCAATTGAGACCATGAACTCACATGCCAAGGGGACTAGTACATGAATGAGAAACCTCAAAGGAAGAAGCGCAGATGCTGCAGGAAATGATGCTACTGAGTCATTCGAAGATGAGGGCTTAGATACCAAGGCTGTAGGTACTTTGTAGAAACTATCTAGAGAGAAGCCATCCATCTTGTTGAGCCTGTACCCTCAGATAACACCACAAAGCAGAACTGGTAGACCCTGTGATGTTTCTTAGATGAGATATCAAACTGACATTCCAACTATCAGACATTAACAATGCAACAGCACATTTTAGAAATGAAATGTTCCATAAGTTGAACAAATTCACAAATTGTTCCTTTTCTTACTTAGCATCTAATAAACATTGTTGCTATGTATTGACAGTGTCCTTTCAGGTATAATTTAAATATATTAGTCATTTACTTAACAAAATTAATTTTTAAGAATAAACATATTTTTAAAAATAATTTTAAATAACAAACAAATCCATCATAGAAAATAGTCAGCGGGGATTAGCCAAAGAACATATGTACATAGCCCATGGACACAGACAATAGTGAAGGCTGGGCGCTGGNAAAATATTTAAATATAAGTCACGAAATCATAAAAATCCTAGAAGAAAACACAGGCAATAAAATCTCAGACATTTCTTGGAGCAATATTTTTGCCTGTATGTCTCCGAGGAGAAGGGAAACTCAGGAAAAGATAAACAAATTGGACTACATTAAACTAAAAAGCTTCTGCACAGCAAAAGAAACCATCAACAAAATGAAAAGGGAACCCACTGTATGGGAGAAGATATTTGTCAATGACACATCTAATAAGGGGTAGGGAAAGGGAGGAAGTCTGTAATAATGTCAAAATTAAAAATTTTTAATAAAAAATAAATAATAATAATAATTTCCAAAATAGATTAAGAACTTGTACAATTCAACAGCAGGAAGACAAACAATCCAATTAAAAAATGGGCAAAGGATCCAAATAAGACACTTCTCCAAAGAGGACACACAGATGGTCAATAGACATGAAAAAATGCTCAACGTCATTAATCATCAAAGTGATGTAAATTAAAACCACAATGAGTTATCAACTCACACCTTCCAGAATGGGTATCATCAATAAATAAACAAAGAAGCAAAGAAGTGCTGGTGAGAATTCGGAGAAAAGGAAACCACAGTGCACTATTGGTGGGAATGTAGACTGGTGCAGCCACTGTGGAAAACAGTATGG